GAGAGGGTACTGTTTCTTTGTTCAGATTAAGCCTCTATCTGAGGCAGGCACTGTGTCCCTGGATCTGGGGGGAGGGAGTGACCCCCCCACCAATAGTTCTGGGCTCAACACATATTCCTGCCCCTCCCCCAGAGAAAAAGAGACTTATTCCCTATTTCCTGCTCCCTCCCCATTCTTTACTGGAGAAAGGCCCTAAGACCAGTGGTGTGTGCTGCCCTACTCTCTGCAGTTTCTTCCTTAGTACAAAAGTCTTTGAAGGACACTTGGTTAGAATACTGGCCAGTCTTTTTCTAAGTTCCAGCTCAGTCCCACAGAGAGAGGGCTGTGTATGCTTGAGGATTTCCCTTGTCTGTGGCCCCCAGGGTCCTGTATTCTTTCCACCAGTCTACATCCTTCCTTTAACAACTTGTTAACAATTTTAGCTGAAATCTTCTTAGTGGGCTCCAGCTGAAAGAAAAAAAAGTGAAACCGAGGTCACTCAGTCATGTCCAACTCTTTCCGACCCCATGGACTGTAGCCTATCAGGCTCCTCTGTCCACGGCATTTTCCAGGCAACAGTACTAGAGTAGGTTGCCATTTCCTCCTCCAGGGGATCTTCCAGACCCAAGGATCGAACCTGGCTCTGCCTCATTGCAGGCAGACGCTTTACTCTCTGAGCCACCAGGGAAGCCGGGTCTAGCTTAGTCTGCCCCAGTTAAGCTCATGTCCACACCTCCTCACCCACTCCAGTGTTCTTGCTTGGAGAATCCCAGGGACGGGGGAGCCTGGTGGGCTGTGGTCTGTGGGGTCCACAGAGTCGGACACGACTGAAGTGACTTAGCAGCAGCAGCAGCCACACCTCCTCAAAGACACCTGTCTTTGCTTTGATCTGGGACTAGCCAGTTGCCTGTGACTTCAGCTCTTGGACAGCTTAAAGGAAAGTTGTGAATCTCCACTTTGTCTAGCTTGTTGTTGTTATACAAGTGGGACATCCCTTCTTACATCCCTCAGAGAAACCAGAGGTCTCCATTCTTTTTTGCAAAAGTAAGTACTGAAAATTGGTTGCTGCTTTGGTTACCAACTTTGTCCAGGCTATTTTGAAATGATGCCTATATGTTTCCAGGTTACCAGGGAATTCTCCATGTAAGAACACTGGAGTTCGTAGCTGTTCCCTTCTCCAGGGGATCTTCCCGACCCAGGGATCCTCCAGGGGATCTTCCCGACCTGGGGATCCAACCCAGGTCTCCTGCATTGCAGGCAGATTCTTTACCCTCTGAGCCACCAGAGAAGCCCCCAAAGTGTTAGTCACTCAATCGTGTCTGACTCTTTGTAACTCCATGAACTGTAGCTCGCCAGGCTCCTCTGTCCATGGAATTCTCCAGGCAAAAGTACTGGAGTAGGTAGCCATTCCTTTCTGCAGGGGTTAAAAGATAGGAGCTATGCCTTTTCAAAGGGCCTTGGGGAGGGAGGGAGTTCACAGGCTTCTTTTGGGAAAAGCATTTGCTGTTCCTGACATTTGCCACCAGAGGGCAAGTCACCACATCGGTCTCCTTCTCACTGGGTGAGGTCAGGCTTCCCAGGCTTCCAGCAGGGAAAAGTTAGGTGTGTAAAGTGAGAGGCAGAGGCATCTAAGTACCTGAGGCTCACAGCCTGTTTTTGAGGCCTCCCTCTGGGCTGTACAGGTGGGGCTCCTAGGCCCTGCAACCCTGACCCGAGGGCCACAGCTGTGCCCTCTGCACTGAAGATGCCTTCTGACGTCCAGGCTGAGAAGCTGCCAGGAGCCTGCTGGGTGGTCAGGCTCTAGCACCTAGAGGTGATTCCAACCTTCTGCTTTGTGTGTTTGGGGGGAGGCGGATGGTCAGGGTGGGGAGCCCCGGAAGTCCATCCCAGCCCAGCTACTGAGGAGAGGAATGCCCAGGGCCCTTCTGTAGGGACGCGGAGGAGGCTGCAGAGCTATACTACTTTAGTCGGTTTATCTGACAAATAAGCCAAAGTCATAGTGGTTTCAAGTGCTAAGTTTGCTTCTCGTGCAAATAAAGCCTAAAACAGATATTCCTGATGATCAGGCAGGTCCCCTCCAAGTGGGGAATCAGGAACCCACTCCTGATGCAGGGCCTCCATCATCAGAAGGCTCGATGGTGGGAAGGGTGTGGGAGAAGGCCCACCCACCCCTTACCACATTGCCCAGGGCTTCACACAGTGCTTCTGCTCATGCCCCACAGATGCAAGCAAGCCCGTGTTCTTTCATAACGCTAGGTTAGGGGCTGGGAAATAGAGCCGGGCCTAGGCAGGTGCCCCTAAAGCACCTCTCCCCTGGGAAGGTGGACAGCCAGACCCCAAATTGTCCACATTGTACCTACAGAAATTACTTGTAACAGATTATTATTCTAGAACAATGTTTGCCAGATTTGCTTGATTTTAGACCCATGGAGAATGCTTATTTAAAATAGAATCCTTGGGTCTGTTTCCTGGACACTCTGGTTTGGCCATCTGCATGGGAGCATGGAGTGGGTTCCCTTACCAAGCTCTCCCTCCAGGAAGCCATCCTGCCCTGTCTACAGAGGGAGCCTCTGCCCCCCGGCCCCCACCCGTGGGTGGGAAGCCAGGCCAACCTTATCTCTGTTGTCATGGTAACTCTTGGGACTGTGGGACCAGCTCCTGGGTGTGACCCAAGGGAGGCGGGTCCTGACCCAGCCCTGCAGGCCCCGCCCCCCGCCCCGCCCCCACGATTGTGACCACTCCACAGCTCAGCCCTGGGAGGGGTGGCTATGAGTCACAGCCACACCAGACAAGACCAGTCTGTGGCCAAGGTAGACCAAGCTGCCCCTGACCTCCCAAACCAGAGCACACTGCCGCCCAGCCCCATCCAGGTGAAAGGGAAAATCTGGAGCAAACCTGCGTTTCCCTGAAATGGGGGCTGGGTGTGGGGTGGAAGAAGACTATGTGTGTCTTTAGCAACACTAGAGGGCACCACCAAGTCAGTATTTCCCGTTCTTACTAGAACATCAACTATTAACGGGTATTCAATATTAGATTTTATGTATTTGTTATGTATTGATTTGCCTTTCTGTTTTTGCCATGACACCTTTGTCATGAATCTTGGGGAAATGACACCAGATTTGTGGCCCGCATCTGGGGGGCAGGGGGAGGGACTGCGCGGAGGAGTAAGGAGACGGCAGAGTAAACCCCAGGCAGGAGAAGGGCCCCTGCGCCCTAGAGTGGTGACTGGGGGCTCAGTATCCTGAAAGATGGGGCTCTTTGTGCCAAAGGAAAGCAGTATTTGGGAGGCCCCGTGTGCTCAGTCAGGGTCAGACAACATCTGGCCACCAGAGCAGGAGTGGGGCAGAGGCACTCCAAGGCCAGAGCTAGCAAGGATAAGCCTGAATCGGGGGGGCCCCGCCCAGCTGTCAGCTTCTAACCCACTTCCCCATCTGGAAGGTGGTCCAGCCTCACCTGCCTCCTAAGCCGGTGGGACAGCAGAGGTGAGACCTCCCTATGGAGGCCCCAAGGCCCCAGCAGGTCTGAGCTGCACTGAAGTGCACCTGAAGCTGCACTGGTCCCTGCACCCACATGTAGCACCCCCAGTGTTTGGGCAGGCCGGCTCCCCAGGTCCTGCCTCCACCCCAACCCTTCTGAAGTAGGCCCCAGTCCCTGGGGGCTGAGGCATGTTTTAATGAATCAGTCCCTCTGTGCAGTGAGGAGCCTGTCTCTCCTCACTGCCTTGTTCAGTTGCTCAGTTGTGTCAGACTCTGTGACCACATGAACTGCAGCATGCCAGGCTTCCCTGTCCTTCACTATCTCCTGGAGTTTATTCAAACTCATGAGTCAATCATGCCATCCAACCATCACATCCTCTGTCACCCCCTTCTCCTCCTGCCTTCAATCTTTGCCAGCATCAGGGTCTTTTCCAATGAATTGGCTCTTCGCATCAGGTGGCCAAAGTATTGAAGCTTCAGCTTCAGCATCAGTTCTTCCAATGAATATTCGGGGTTGATTTTCTTTAGGATTGACTGGTTTGATTTCCTTGCTGTCCAAGAGACTCTCAAGAGTCTTCTCCAGCACCACAGTTCAAAAGCATCAATTCTTCAGCATTCAGCCTTCCTTATGGCCCAACTCTCAGATCCGTACATCTACTGGAAAAACCATAGCTTTGACTATACAGACCTTGGTCAGCAAAGTGATGTATCTGCATTTTAATACTCTGTTTAGGTTTGTCATAGCTTTCCTTCGAATGAGCAAGGGTCTTTTAATTTCATGGCTGCAGTCACCATCTTCAGTGAAGATTTTTGGAGCCCAAGAAAATAAAGTCTGTCACTGTTTCCCATATCACTGCCTTGTCCACCTACACATTCCCTCCTCAGAAGGCTCGGTGGTGTGGTCTGCTCCAGAACAGCTTGCCAAAGCTCCCCCAGGCTGCTGTTCACCCTCAGGGCGCTATTACCACCTGACAACAGAAGCTGTGTGTCACCTGTTCATCCAGCCCTCAGTATAGGATGTGAGCTCCCTGTGGCCAAGGCCACTGTTTCCGTGGGTCCCACACAGATAGACCTGCTCAATGAACTCATGAATGAGCAGGTGGCAGGCAGCCCTCACTCCCCTTCTCTGGGAGGAGCTGGGTGGGCCTGGACTCAAGCCCTCTCCTAACTGACCTTGCTCAGCGCACTGTCTGGCCTGGGTCCTGTCGGTAGAAAGGGCAAAAGCAGTAATAGCTTCGTTTTGTCTGCTGCCCCAGGAGGGTCCCTCCCTTTTGATCCGTGTTGAGGCCAAATCATGTCTCCAAACTGCTCTTTGGCATCCACAATAAAGAAATTTTTTAAACTGTTAGTGGTGGTTTTGAAACCTCCGGCCTTAAGGTTCCTGCCCGCGTAGAGGTCCTGTGTATACCTCCATTTGGTTCCCTTAATCACGGCAACACCTGGACTCAGTGGACTTCTCCTGTCCTCCCTAGGGGTCACGGGGGCTTTGGGCCTCCCCTCCCACCCTGGGCCACCTGGCACAGGTCTCTCTCTTTTATGTTCCAGCCGTGATCCCCCTGACCGATTCGGAGCACAAGTTGCTGCCTCTGCACTTTGCGGTGGACCCAGGGAAGGACTGGGAGTGGGGGAAAGACGACAATGATAATGCCCGGCTGGCCCAGTAAGACCCTACTCTGTGCCCCTCCCTCCCCCCAGTGCCATTCGAGGCGGGATGTTGCTGGGTTTCCCGGGGAGGGGCTGGGCAGGTGCCCCTGCTCCTAGTGGTTGGCTGGGCGGCTGGCCTGAAGGCAGGAGGGGGTGCATGCGGGCAGACTGGGGCGCATCTCACTTGGTGTTCCTCTCTCGCTAGCCTGATCCTGTCACTGGAAGCCAAGTTAAACCTTCTGCACAGCTACATGAATGTGACGTGGATCCGGATCCCCTCGGAGACCAGGGTGAGCTTGGCGCGCGCCAGGACAGACCAGTAGGCACCCTCAGCTCCGGGCAGGCAGGCAGAGTGCATCCTCCCCAACGCGGGGCCCCCTAATGCTGGGTTCCATCCAGCCTATGGTGCGCGCAGCTCCAGCTCCAGCTGAAACACGTGTCTGCGCACCCGTGTGATCGCGGGTCTGGGCATAGACGCACGCACCGGCTAGGGGAGTTTTTGTTCCCTTATTTTCTTCAGAAGGCAAGGCATAAACACACCCTCAAAAGAAACCATAGGCAAGTCACAACACAAAACTCTGCCGAGATGGGAACATGATGTGCTGCCATGGAGAAGAATTAATTCTAAACCTGTGTGTAGGTCCTTGAATAGGCAGGGAACCAGGGTGCGATTCCTCGGCACTTCCTCTTGTTCTTCTCTCCCCTCTGGGACGGGGAGCTGTGAGAAAGGGGGCTGGTGCCCCACTTGCCCCTCCTCCCTCGGGTAGGTCCAAGCTGGCCCTGCCTCCAGATGTTAAGAATGATTCGCTTTAAGTATCTGGCTGATGTTTCTGTGCCCTCACTTTCCTGTAGTGAAATCTCAGGAAAGGGGATTTTTTTGGGGGGGGGGGGATTTTTTTTTTAAAACTTACAAATAATTGGTCCTCCCCAGACATCAGTTTAATTAGCCATAAAGTGGGGCCTATAACTAATAGTTTTTAAGTTTCATAAAGAAGGCAAGGAGGGCTATGCCCAGCACACAGCCAGTAAGCACCCAGGACAAGTGGGCACTGCTCAGAGTGCTTTTGTACTTCAGCCTTTACTGGTATCTAATCTTCACAGGGCTCCCTGATGCAGGCCCTGATTCCCTGTATGGCACAAGTGACAGTCAGCGGCAGTCTGGTTTGTGACTACATCATGACGCGGCTGTGGGTGTTCTTTTCTAGCGCCCACGAGGGCTGTGAAGGCAGCAACTCCAGATCGAGGATCAAGAGACTCGGGCTGGGACACAGCTCGGGCTTGGGACAGTCAGGCTGGAGGCCACACCAAGGGGGCGGGGTCTGCCTCCTGCGGCAGCAAGAGGAAGGCTGATCTCTAACCTCCTCCCTTTCCTGCCCTCCCTCTCCCCTGCAGGCCCCTCTGGCGCAGCCGGAGTCCCCGACGGCCTCCGCGGGGGAAGACGTGCAGTCCCTGGCCGACTCGCTGGACTCGGACCGAGACTCCGTGTGCAGCAATTCCAACAGCAATAACGGCAAGAACGGCAAGGAGAAGGAGAAGGAGAAGCAGCGCAAGGACAAGGACAAGACCCGCGCGGACTCTGTGGCCAACAAGCTGGGCAGCTTCAGCAAAACACTGGGCATCAAGCTGAAGAAGAATATGGGCGGCCTGGGCGGCCTGGTGCACGGCAAGATGAGCCGCGCCAACTCCGCCAACGGCAAGCACGGCGACGCGCCCGAGCGCGGCAAGGAGAAGAAGGCCAAGGCGCGCAAGGGCAGCAAGGAGGAGTCGGGCGCCTCGGCCAGTACGTCGCCCTCGGAGAAGACCACGCCGTCGCCCACGGACAAGGCGGCGGGCGCGTCGCCGGCCGATAAGGGCGGCGGGCCCCGCGGCGACGCCTGGAAGTACAGCACAGACGTGAAGCTGAGCCTCAACATCCTGCGCGCCGCCATGCAGGGCGAGCGCAAGTTCATCTTCGCCGGCCTGCTGCTCACCAGCCACCGGCACCAGTTCCACGAGGAGATGATCGGTTACTACCTGACCAGCGCGCAGGAGCAGTCCCCGGCCGCAGCCCCCCGGCGCCGGGGCGCCAGAGCGTCATTCACGTGCAGGCGGCAGGCGCGCGGGACGAGCCGTGTGTCCCAGCTGTGGGCGCACTGCGGCCGTGCGCCACGTACCCGCAGCAGAACCGCTCGCTGTCATCACAGAGCTACAGTCCGGCGCGCGCCGCCGCCTTGCGCACAGTCAACACGGTAGAGTCGCTGGCGCGCGCCGTCCCAGGAGCCCTGCCCGGGGCGGCGGGCGCGGCGGAGCCCAAGTCGCAGACCTACACCAACGGCTTCGGCGCGGCGCGCGACGGCCTGGAGTTCGCCGACGCCGACGCGCCGGCGGCGCGCTCGAACGGTGAGGGCGGCCGGGGCGGCCCGGGTGCGGGCCCCGCGCAGAGGCGCTGCCAGCGCGAGAACTGCGCGTTCTACGGGCGCGCCGAGACCGAGCACTACTGCTCGTACTGCTACCGCGAGGAGCTGCGGCGGCGGCGCGAGGCGCGCGCGGTCCGGCCCTGAGCGCACGGCCCGGCCCTGCCGCCGGGCTGTCCTCTCCAAGTTGTCGGTGTCTCCTCTGCGCCCTGGTCCACCTGGAGGCCGGCGATCCTCTGTCCGTGCTGTGTACGTGTTTGGTCAAACGTTCCTAATGGTGCCTGAACCTACACTGACGCCACTCAGGTAGTAGACGGATAGGAAACAAGTCATACTGTTGGAAGTGGGTGTGCTAGCTAGCATCTGCCTCGTACCTGTGGAAACTCAATAGCCATTGCAAGGGTATTTTTGTTCCTCGATAAGAGAAATAAAGAAATTTGCAGCCCTTTGTTTTTAGAAGGGAGTGTTTTACATGCCTTTTTTTTTTTCCTTTGCTTTTTTTTTTTTTTTTTCCTAACCACTAGCACCACCNTTTTTTTTTTTTTTTTTTCCTAACCCGGCGACTGACCTCTTTCCATGTAGCGGTCACCTGCGTGCAATCATTGCCACCCAGGGTTTCGAGGCGAACGCGCGGCCCTGGGACCGCGGTGGCGGCTCTGCCTCGGGCTTCCACCTGTACCCTTCCGGGGTCCCTGGAGGACAGGGCGCTCGGCCGCCCGCTGGCGCCCTGATGGTCTCTCTGGCCCTTTAGAAATACGCGGCTCCATCTCATAAGCAAAACCTCCTCCCACAGCCCCCGGCTCGAGCGACACTCACACTGCCATCAAAGCCACGGGCGTCTGTAGGCTGGGCACGGGACAAGCTACCTCGCGGGGCGCTGTGATGTGTAGCGGTCGCTCCCGGTGCGGGGCAGCTCAGGTGACAGGAGCTTTCCAAAGACACCGTGGGGCCCGAGGGCAAGGTTCCGAACTCACGATTTGGAGTTGCCCATATATGAGCAAAGATGACAGCCTGTTCACATTTCTCCTTCAAAGACGCTTCCCCAGTGAACTGTCGCCTGAGGGGCCCCTCGGAAGCGGCCATCGGTGCCCCAGGAGAGAGGCGAGGACTTGGCCTTGCGGTCACTGTGTAACCCCCAACTAGGCTGCCCTGAAACGCGGCCCACCCCTCTTTCCAGAGGGGAGGGACTGAGGGCCGCCGGGGAGGAAGCCCACCCCCACCTCCACCCGCATCTGTCTGGGGGCAGCCAGGTGGAGGCGCGCCGCTCCCGTCCGGGTCCCCTCCGCACGGTGGCTCCAGAACACGTTAGGGGCAGCCCCATCCCTGAGCGATCCCTATATTGGTGCCTCCTTACATTTCTTGAGGAAAAAAAAAATGTGTCCTTAGCTACCCTGTTCTGAGCAGCAATATGCAGCGTCTTCCTTCCAAGATTACCTCTGGAGAATACCGTTCTTGGCCAAGGACACCGAGGCGTTAAACCTGCCTCTCTAAGGAAATATCTTGTTTCCAAGAAATACAGAAATGATGGGTAAAATCCTCACTAGCAAAAGAATCCTTTAAAACCTGTGAGAGCCTTAGAATAGCCTCTAATAATCCCAAGAAAGAGAGAAAGCGCCCAGCTTCGCTGGGGGTGTATCTAAAGAAAACACGGGAGGCAGATCATCTCTTCATTGGAGCCAGCTTCTCCTTCTCCAGAAAGGATGCTTTTCCCCGACATAAAGAGCAGCAAAAAAAAAAAAAAAAAGGAGATTTTTTTTTACTTGTTTGAACTATTATAATAAACTAATTTGAATATCTCCTGTGAGTAATTCATTTTTGTTTTTAATTATCCACAGCAGGTGGAGTTTTCAGTCATTTATTCAAGTTTTACATAAGTGGTTCCTTAAAATTATTTATTAAATAGGACCGTAAATTTTTGGGGAGTTTTACTGTTCATGCTAAACAATACTTTCAATGTGTGGTAATCACTAACAATCATGTCCCTCATATTACTGGGGTTTCTTTTGTTGAAAGAAAAAAAGCAGTTTAAAAAAAAAAAAAATCTCTCATCAAGAGGGTTTGTGGCAGCTTTTTGAACTTATTCTCCACATCATGCTGACCAACTGCTTTGCCATCCAAAGCTGTGAAGTCACAGGAAATAAATACTGCTTCACGTGTAGACTCCGGCTTCTGCCCTGCATCTCACAGAAGGTGGAACAGCCAGCTTGGAAAGTTCTTCCCTGTGCATTCATAAACCAAACACATATGCACAAGTCAAGGCAGAAAGTAATCTCGTGTTTGTTTTTTAATTTTTTAACATGAAAACAGCCAACCAGAAATTTCCAAAACTGGCTATGCAAATATTTTATCTTTCTTACGCTCTCCGCCAGGTTAAAAAAAGAGAGAGAGAGAAAAAGAAAAAAGACAAACCGAGATTTAAAACAGTCTATTTGTAGTACAAGAGGGAGAACCAGGCAGTGTAATTTGTACGTATTATCAAAAACCAGTGATCTGTTCTAGCTCCTCGAATTTCAGTCACCTCTACCCTACCCCCATCTGACATTTGTGCCATAAATAAGCCTGAGATCCAACCCCAACCCTAGCCCCCAGGCTCCTCCTCTCCCCCCGGAGTAGACGACCCCCCGTGTCTCTCCATGTGGTCACTAGCCACTCTATGTGCGGAGCACCTGTGAGTGTCACTCCCTGGTGGAAGACAGGATGCCCTTGGTCAGCATTGTTTACAAACAGCCATTTCCTCTTATGAGAGATCTGGATCTATCCTTCCTCTAAACAGTGTTTAAAACAGAAAGCCCACTGTTGCGTTAAATGTGCTGGTCCAGCCCCTCCGTGTTCACAAGAGTTTTACCCCTCATCCCTGGCCAAACATCTCTTAGACCAAATGAATTCATCAGGCTTCGTGAGAACCATTAGAAACAGCTGTGTTTTTCACATGTGGATCAAGAGATCCCTTAATGTCCTTCTGTGACCTGGGAGCCCTTAGTGGAGTGGGGGGAAAGGAAGTGGGTTGGGGCACTAGAGAAAAGGAAAACAGCCAGTCTATATTCTAGAAAGGCCATGAGCCCCACCAAGGCACAGGTCCTGGATGCAAACAGGATCCTGTGAGCTGTCTTCCCCTCCAACCTGGTCTGGCCAAACTTCCCTTTCTGGGAATGTCGGACGTCTCTAAGTGACAGCAAAATTCCAGAAGGAACCCCAGATACTTCTAAACCCCAATGGAGGTTATTTCAGTCATTTGCTTCACACTTTCTGCATCTGTGTGACCTGGGTATATGATTTTTTAAAACTAATATATTGTGAAAGGAAGGCATTTTTAAGTGTATTCTGTTTGTAGATTTTATGCTATGTTGATATTTTACAAGCCAAGTTTGAACTGTACTATAGAAATTATTTTTATATTATTTTCAGAATATGCCACAGAGCAATATTTTGCACCCTTATATTGTCACGGGGTTGTCCCCTTGGAGGGCTAAATTTAGGTTGGGTGGGGCTCCAGTGTGGGCTCTGGGGGATGAAACACCTTCTGCTATTTGTTCACATCTGATTTGAAAGTGGAACTGTGTGAACATCTCTTCCTTTTTCCACGGAAAGCTCAATTCATTTGCTGTTCCTGGATTTTGGTACTGCACCTGTCCTCTTAAATGAGTACTTTCTATTCACTAAGTTACCGTGGACCTTTTTCTTACCTATCACCACCCAGTGGCTCCAGTGGTGTTCCGAAAAGTTGGGATGTATTACTTTACAAACTTCATGTTTTCCAGAGTGATTTGATGTGTTAATTCTGGTAGTATACCGTCAGGAAATTAATGACTCAAGATCGAGGAGCACACGTCAGGGTGTGAAATGTTCCTGGTGGTGCCCACTGTCTCTGAGGCGGGGTCGTGGCTACATGACCCTCACCCCCTTGCTTAGCAACCACAAGCTTATTTTGCAGACTATTTTGCAGAAATAAACTTAACTGATCAAAATATATTTCATGTTAGTTAAGAAAAAAAGGGCTGTACCCATCAGTGGTGGGAAATTTGTGCGAGGTTAAAAAAAAAGGCTTTGCCAAACCATGTGTTTTATTCTCTGTGTCTTTCATGTTTACAAGAGATGTGGAGTAATGCGCGTTTGGGAGTGTTTCTTTTCTTTAGGATATGAGTCAGTTTTCCTCATTGTGGTGTGGACTTTACAAATTAAGGGCCTCGAGTGCTTTTTTTCTTTTTCTTTCTTCCAATGCTTCTAATAAATAAGAAGAGAACATGTGTCATGGCTGATCAGGCCCTGCCTCATCAGACCTTGCCTGCTGTGACATTGCCTCCATTCACAGTCTGATTCTGCTGTCACCTGAGTGCTGGCATGTTCAGGAAAGGGCCCTGCAGTGATTGGCAGCCCTGACACCAGGAACTATTTCTGTTTATTTTGTAAAATAATTTGCTGAAATTTTCAGTTTTGCTACTTGATGATTGCAAAAACAAAGTTCTACCAACCCTAATTAGTGTATACAAAGTGCCCATTGCTTATCCTTTTTCATTCTTTTAAGAAAACATCTGAAGAGTATGAAAAGACATACACACACACTCTGTTCTTTAACAGAGGATAGGAGTTACCACTACTTTTTAAAATATAGGCTGAATATGCTCAAAATGAAACTAGCCCATTTATTTTAAAGAGGATAAATTAGTGGAGCCAGTTCCTTGAGAAGGTCTATGATAGCACAGACGCTGAAAGGTGACTTTAAATGAAGGGATAACCAGGTCCTTACAAAGACCGCTCCCACCCCCGTACTTCTCCAACCTCTGCCCCAATCACCCGAGCCTGCCTCAGGGCCTTTGCATATGACCTTCTGCCTGGCATGTCCTCCGCTGACACCCATCCTCAGCCACATGTCTCACCCTTCACTACCTGCCAGTCTTTGCACCAATGTCACCTCTCAAGGAGGCCTTCCCTGACTTCTTTATTTAATAAGCCAACACATCCCACCCTCCTACTGCCTGTTTATCACCACTTGAAGGCTGCGTGTAAATTAGCCATTCATTCATTCATTGTATGCCTCCCTCCAGCTCCATAACATGTAAGCTCCACGTGGGCAGGAATTTTTTGTATGTTTTGCTCATTGCTGTACCCCTGGTGCCTGCAACAGCACCTGATATGTATTCAATGCTGGAGAAATACTTGTTGAAAAAAGATAATGAAATCAATCATTTGACAGCTTTTAAGAACCCTACAAGTATCAGTTTCAGCCTTTATCAAATAGAGATTCTATTCTTGCCCCTAAATGGGGAGAATTTTAGCTGATAAGGCAGCCTATGGTTCATGAAGACCAGATGCGGCAGTGAGTACCAGACCTGATGGTGGCAAGTATGCCATATAAAAACGCCTGCCCCAGTGGCCATCCCTCACAGAGAAGGGACTCTGCTGTTTACAGAGGACCCTTTGGGATAGGCTGAGGTGGGGACAGTTTCCTCTAGGGCAGT